CACTCTAGAAGCCCGCGCGTTGGAGTACCGACTAAGTCACCTACCCCTCACCCCTCTTAGATAGTAGTGGACGCACAATGACTGTCACAGTATGTGATATCAAGAACCACATGACAATCATCAAGTAATTGGTGAACCAGTTGCAGAGCTTCATGTAGCTCGTCCACACTACTCATTTGGAGGGATAGTTGTCATTTCCACGGCTCCGACAAACCACTTTCCACCATATTTTTTCTAGAGCGGTGAAACACTCGCAAGGAAATGGTTTCGACTTCCCGTGAACGTTCGAGGAGACCTAGGTACATCCTTTGTCTAGAATGCTAATCACGAACATACAGATAAAGAGTACAAAGGGACTTCCCAGGCGAGTTCTTCGTGATCAAAGTTTGCTGAGAATGCACTGCTGGCATGTGAGCACTGCTAAGCAGCCGAGTGGCGTGTTAGGGCAGCGTAGCGGCCTCACTCCAAAGCCAAGAGCTTGTGGGTTTGCATCCCGTTGGCGCGAAAATTTTTGCTTCGTCTCCTATAAGGGCTTTTACTCCAGTTTTCAAAATAACTCCGAGCGAAACTTATGTCACATACTGAAGGAACTAAGATTCTGAAAAAGTATTACACATCCATTGATTTGTATTTCGCTACCGATCAACGCTACTGCGTAATGACCATTTGCCTTCACAATGCACCTGGCTTGCCGAAAACAAGTGTGTGACAGGTAAATTTGTGTCACAAATGTTGACAAGCTCCCATGACCCGCACATGGCACATGACCTGCATTGCAGGAACTTGCTGATGGTTTGGCAGCACTTCTCTCACGGGTTATATACGTTTGTGCTAAAACATATGTCGTTTATAACGCCCCAGTTTTAGTTAGAGTTTTACCTCTAGAAAAGTTTTTCCTCTCTAAATTACACGGAGATGAGTTTTATCTTTTTTTCTGTGTTCTGGATTGTCACCAGAACCTACCGGTGCATCCTTTTATGACTACCTGATTGATATGTGTAAGCCATAGGCAAACTTGAGACATGTGATTATGACCCATAGGTAAATAGTTAGATACTCGATGCGTGACCTCTCCTGTATTGAGAGGCACGCCTAGATTAAAGCATTCTACCACGTCCACCACCGAGACCACCCCGTCTCGGACTACCTAGAGACCACCCCGTCTCAACTACATTGTATTCCATCGCAACTACAACGAGACCACCCCGTCTCGTCAATAAAGGTATATAAACCTTCATATTTCTGGTGCAAACGGCCGGGACAAACCCGAGCAGGTACCTTTGAATTTTTTACTTATCTATATCTTAGCTAATTCTATGCTTAAGAATATTGAATGAAAGCTCATTTCACTAAAGCTCAACCCAAATAAAAGTAAAAATGTTGCTGGATTCTCTAAAGATAAGTGTATTTATTAGGTCCAACTGGGCAAAAAAGGCTCTGAGCGACTACGAGGCATATAACCAGGGTATTTCGTATTCATATGACCATAACACGAGTCAAGAAGAATGCGTAGGAATCCTTAAATGTTTGAATTTTCATCTGTCCCAAATCCAGCGCGCTACAGGAAAGCTGGAAAGCGCGACCGACGATTTGGAAAAGTTTTGCCTTTCTTTAGAACCACTAGCGGAACAACAAAAAATAATAGAGGAGATTGAGGAACTCGATATTCTGACCTATGAGAAGTTGAAGCGTAGCTCTTGAATCATCTCTTGAATCATCCATATTGCACCACTTTTTCGTTGTATCAGCTGTTTGTCGCCACTTGACCTTACTGTTTATAGCTACACTGCCGATAAAACTAAGAAACCCTTTGACTGCAGCTCAGTAAAATTGAGATTCTTTTGGTTCATCTGTTCTCTTCTTTGTTTCTCTTTCTCGCCTTTGAGGAATTTTCTTCAGATGGCTTCCCTTTCTGATACCGTTCATGCTTCGATATGATAGACAGCTTGTCTTTCAGACGTGAATGAATGAATAAGTAAGATGTACTGCTTGATTTTGATCCTTTCATTTTCATTCATGGAAGTGGTTAATCAAAGTTTGAACAAGGAAGAAGGTTGCGGCACAAAACCGCTTAGCTGAAGTATCTGAACATCCACTGTTCGTGGATAATACCAGTACTGTTCATATAATACAACAAACACTTACTCTTAGCAGAATAGTAGATCCTCTCCTGTAACCAGCTAAAAAAAGCGCGCCATGCAACTCGTCAGGAACCACGGATACAATTTTCTCAAGACCGGCATCAACACTGCAAAAGAAAATGAAGTAGCAAAAACTCAGTTGTTCGAAACGTATTCTGTATTTCAATATATGATCTTGCGTAGCTTTCTATCGAAAGCTAGACAAGAGCTTTCCGGCTCTCTGTGACAGCGCTCGGACATCGCGCGTTAAGCGCGTCGACGCGCTGTAACGTGCTGCACAGCGCTCAGTCACAAGCCAGCCCCAACTCCACCGTACCCCAGTTGCTTTCCTTTGATATTTCACCTTCTTTTATTTTTCATTTCTACTTCATCTTGAAGCTCCCCTTTTGAACTTTGACTTTCAATCTCGAAGTATTTATTGATAGTGGATGCTGTGATAGTGATATAAGATACTAGATATATTTTTTTGTCCTGTTGATAGCCCGCCTGAGCCAACGTATGTCCTCAACAGATATTGTAGCGCGAAGATAGTGAAAGTTTTGACACTCTTTCAAGTGACATATCCAAAACGGACAAAGGTGGTGTGGGGGCCACTAACACGCTCACCAGGCGCGCGGTCCGGGGATCGAATATTGGATCGGCTCCCGCACAGACCAACCAAGTCTTCTACCCTAGGGGACGGTGAATTCGTACCTTATTGGTATGGAAGGAAAGTAACACTGATTTTTACATCAGCTGGCCCATGCAAATAAGCGTATAGGACACAACGCATTCAATGAGCCATTACGGAAGTGTGATGTGTGTCGCATCCAACGAAGGGATAAATCAACAGCGAAGACTATCGTTTTTATACCCGATATCTATTACCATTATCTTCAGGATATAGTCATAGTGCTATTAACTTAGGGTTCAATTACTCCTACCAAACGAGGTTGTTAGATGAAACTTTTAATACATAAGATAAGTGAGGAGGAGTTAGAAGTTCGGTTCGTTCTTACCAAATCAAATCTTACGAGACACAGCGCTAGGCTCCTCATGGTGGGATCTTAGGTCTCTTAAGATGGCGAGAAGGTCGAAGACGAGAAGATCGAAAGTTTTGGCCAATAAAAAGTTCCCATCTAACCGCCTCGGTTGGCAGAACTAATTGAACATTATACATCATGAAGAGGTTACAGCAAAGGACGACGTGGAGTACATAGTACCGTTTTCGATTTCAATTCTGTCTCAGGATTGTTATTCGTGATTGATGTTTCATCATGCATGTTGTACCTCGTGGAATGAAATGGAATGAAAATAAGTTCGCAATCCGGTAAGCGAAGAAAAATATGGGGTGTAACATGCATGACCTCACATCAAATGCAAACGACCACTTTGAAATTGAAGGTCAAACTCAGAAGGGAAGCCTAAGATGAAGTATGACTGGAAAACAAAGAAAAAAAGGGTAAAATATGAAGGAAGGCAAATGAAGTGCTATAGAAGCGTGCTTGTAATTGTAGTGCTGCGCAGTGCCACGAGGTGCTGAATGCGCGACCTCGCTAAGTCTGAACGCTGCTCAAGGGTACCATAGACCACGAGTGCTCTGGTCATGAGATGCCCCAGTAAGAAAAAAAATTTTTCAATGAAATAATGAGTGCTGACACACATAGCAGTTAAATTTCCGCTGAACGGACGGAAATCCTCTAACCAGCCATAGCGGTACGATCTGCCGGAATACTCATGAGGGTTGCAATTTTCATACACTCGTTGAACATTCTGAAAAAAGGCAATAAGTGTTTCTACGTAGCATTTACCAGGACGCGAGCAGAGTTCATGACTAAGGTTGGAGAAGCAGAAAGATACTGAATGCGCTGGGCATAGCATTCCACTTTTTTCACTTAATGCTGATAACAGGAGTTCACATAAATACCTTCCCTCCGAGCCTCTACCTCAACAAGGGAAGGACGATTGCACGGAAGGGCCGTTTGAAATGGAAGGTATAGTAATGTGATCCTGGACGATTACGATTCAAGCCTTGCGTATCTGCTGCGAATCTGCCTCAATAAAGCAGAGAGTCATCAAAGAATCCCCAATGAACAAGGGTTTGCTGCGATAACAGCTCATTAGTTATGAGACCTGCCTCATGTGCGGAAGGTCGAGGGTCCAAGGTTATATTGCGTTTACTCCCTGTTTGCATTTTCCCCCCACTTCTGTTCTCCAGTCACTTCGAGAACACTTTTGTAAAGTCAGAGAACTGAAACTCATACTTGGAAGGGCGAAGGTTCAGAATCGTGGGGCCCTCGCTGATTCGCATTTTTTCGACAATCTTTGTTACCATGATATGGATTCGTGACGACGTGTTCCATTCCGTTAAGGAATGATTGTATTTGTGAGTGATGGTAATCGCAAAAGTGCCTGCGCGTTCAAGGTGCTTAGCGAGCGCTCTAGGCCCCTTCACCCAACGAATGTGGTACTCGTGGTCAGAATGTGCAGCCACTCCTTCAAGCTTTGTACAAACAAAGGTGTTCCCTAAGACGCGGTGCACTCTTCCATTTCCTTTTGCTTAGTACCGCCACTTGTACAGAGGTGGTATGGTTTCTAACCACCACCGACATTGTTGCATAGGACAGTAGATGCATGTGTTTTTCTGCTCTGATTTCTTGACGTGCTGATCAACCCTTCTTCATACACCCACGTGTACCCACTTAAACAGGCAGCTAATTTGCGTACTTAACTACTACATAATTTAGCTACTACTACTTAAGTTTTGTACTAACTTGAAAGCTGGCATGGTCAAAAAGACTACGTTTGGGTGTTTTATTTTCTTTACCAAAGTCCGAACAAAAAACACTGACTCAGCGGTGAAAGAGAACCAGAAACGAGAGCGCACAGACAAGCAACGCGCTTTGTTACAATTATGGCGTGTGGCTGGCCGCACGGCAACGCGAGGCGAAATATGGAGTCTGTCCGCGGTATCATCACCCTCCAGCCTCGTTCCCGTGCAGTTTTAAATGAAGAATGTGGCACTAGGTACCGCAGCTAAAAGCACCTCCGAAATGTTACGGATGAGATCCAACGGAAATCCGGGAACAGTTCGGCTCTGAAGCATGCCTAAGGTACGTGGGATGATAATGGATGATAATGCGCACTTCATGTAAGATAATGTGCGCATTATCATCCATTTCTAGAAGGTACATTAATGATATGTAGAGGGTTGAAAATCCACAACAAGGAGAGTTTCAGCAGCTCTATGAGACTTAGAATGAGACCTGGGCATGTTGATAGAGTTTCGAATGCAGGTTACGAATATTCAAACCACTATTGTTACCTGAATCTCACGTGAGTTGGGAGCGGCTGCCAGTTGTATCGAAAACTTGTTCACAAAACTGTTCACTAGACTTTAAGAACGGCTCTATGCGTCCCAAGCCAGATGGATGTGGTATTCGCATTAAGAGTGAAGAGCCACTAGGGAACTAATTTCTGCCCAGACGGAAAGTTAGAACTTACATATGTTCCATCACAATATTGCACCATCTTTGCGAACTTTGATCGGTTATAACTCACATAGGAAGAGCTTGTAAGCAATTTCGATTCCCGTATTCGCTACCAGCCTCTCCAGCCTCTTCAACACACACAGGTCATCATTCTACGTTCCATTGGAATTTAAAACCGTTCAATGGTTAAACACGACACAGTGCTGAAAGATCAAAAGTCGTTGAAAGATTCACCTGACCTCAATCAAGTCGTTGAAAGATTCACCTGACCGAATCGAGTACAAGTTTGCATTCTGAAAGCATCAGTTCTTCTTGTGAAAATATGGCAGTGGTCTTCCAAATATTCTTCTTTCTCAGCATTTTCGCAAACCTAGATTCAAATAGGATATAGAGCTGAGAGTCGCTTCGCTTCCGAGTTTTGAAGACTCCATTACACACTGAGAACGAGAAATCACGCGAAGGCCTAATGATGCACGAAAGTGGCAATAAGTTGAGTTGAGTAGGTCAAAATGACAACATACCTGCTCATCCCCATGTAGTGTTTTCTCTTGACAGATGGCCCAGTCGTGTTCCGAATCTTCTCAATTGATTATCGACATTGGTACACACAGACCGTTTCTACTGGAAAATTCTGAAAACAACATTGTCCGAACCAAGCGAAATTCACACGTCGGGAAGATAGGAGAGAATACCAATCAATAAGTTGCTTTTTGGCTATTAAATGAGCAGAGTAGTTGAAGCCCGTCTGCGGAGGTGTGGTCTACAAGAGGACGTCAGAGCCATGGAATACCCCCCCCCACGTGATCCCAAGCGTCGGCTTGTTCGTTATCGGTTATATGACAGTATGTGCGACACTGCTGGCGTTGCATGCCGAAAAGGCGATCGAATGGAGTGAAAGTAAACTCCTCATTCATTACGCGACCTGTTGAAGGCGTCATCAGCCGATAGGAGGGTGCGCACACTTGATTGGGCAAGCCGTTTCTCAGCCTTTTCTTTGAAAGCGCGATGCGACAAAAAGTGGTTTATTTGAAACGAGTAATACGAAGGATATATGCTGTTATGTCATTTGATCGCTTCAACAACTGGTGCAGAAAGACTTTGGAACCGCGGAAAACGCAGCCGCACTGACCCGCCCCGACAGTCCGTAATGATGAGGAGTATACACATCTGAATCGCTTCAAGCCTGCTGCACAGAAAATGGTGTTGAGGACGAGTCGTGCCCCTTGTGTGCGGGGTAAGAGGCACATGGACGGGCTAAGGGAACCACGAATCCAAACGCGACTGGGGATTATTGGGTTCAGTGCCACGGAGAAGACGAGTTTACGGTATCCGTAACGACTATGGCACTCAAACCTGAGATTCCGCCTCGAAAAAGAGTGGAGGCGTCTTGGATTTTGGCTAGGGATCGTAATCTTGCAGCGACGGGGCTAGACAGAGGCTAGAGAGTATGGAAGTAGGAGAGTACAAAATACTCTCCTACTTTCAATACTCTCTAGCCCCTCTCTAGCCCCGTCGCTGCAAGCGCTGGGAAAACGCTGGAGAAACGCTGGTGAAGCTAGATCGATAGCTATGCTTCCCGTGCCCTCGCTACGCCAGCGTGCGCTAGCGTGCCGCTAGCGTACGCTGGTGACGCAGGGTACAGCATCGTTGTGCGAAACCCATAGGGGGGTCGTACTTGGCCGCTGGGGGGGAGGGGGGGTCGTAATCTCAAGGGTCACTCAGAGCCGAGCAATGCTTCGACATTTCAGTTGATAGTGGGAGTGGAGCTATGGAAGTCAAGATGTTTAAAAAAAATGAAGTTTATTATGAGTGTATTCTTTACAGCTTTAAATGCTACGTTTAACAGCCCTCTTTTCATGGGAAATCCCCAAGAATGGGTTCGTACTTGGCCGCGTGGGGAGTATCGCAAAAGTAGGCTCGCTAGGCATCAAACAGTACAAAGGTGTCATTGCTAAGGGTAATGGAACGGACGGAAAGCTTCAGAAGACCCGGATGTAAATAGGAATACAAAATAATAAAAGATTTATTAGCAATATAGCAAGAATAAATAAATAAATAAATAAGTGTCAGTTTATAGCATGAACTCGTAAGTACGTAGATGACTAAATAATACGTCTCAAACAGATTCGTGCGTGTTGTCCTTTACAAACCCTAAACAAACATCTGCTTGCATGGATAAAAGCACCTGAAATCAGAATTTACACCTTTCCACCACCTCTGCGTAGGAGCCTAATGCACGGCGCACGGACCAAATCGATCAGAGATAGCCGAGCTTCTCTTTCACTCATTTGAAGGGAAATATGTGTTTTGAAGGCACACTGAAGTTTCCGAAGGTGTATCCTCACAATGGCACATAAGGAGTCAATTTTTCGGGTGGGTCAGAGGGTGGCGCATCTGTGACCCATCTAAAATATCTCCTGAACTAGTGGGTCTTCAGAAAAACTGTAAAGCTTATTGGAAAGAGAAAAGATGGAGGGGTTTCAGGACGACTTTAATCCTGATGAAATTGCGTTGAACGAAGCAATCCTCGCGTGAAGCATGGAAACCAGCTCGCGATTTACCCCTAGCCTATCCAAAACCCATCCGGAATATTTCACCAACGGGGATTGTTCAGTTTGCAACTAGGTAGAATACACAACAGTAGAAACTTTGCCGTTGCATGCTGCTCACCATTCCTCAAAAGCTCCGCACCTAAAAAAGATATAACCCCCCGAACAGACCCCAGGACGTTGGCAAGTCCAACAACCGCGCTCCAATGACGTTTTTCCAAAGAAAGCGGTCGCAGCCTGCAGCCTGATCGATAATAGCCAAGTATGGAACGATTTACTGCCGGCCTGGTTATCCTTTTTTCATTTAGCTCTGCATTTTTTGTATTTTCCATGTTTCGCTTTGTTGTGTCGTGCATGTTTTCATTATTTCCCCGTCACCATTCATTGAATGCACATCTGGGCCCTGACACGCTCACCTTGGGGCTATTTTTTTCACCAATTCAGCCTATCAATGATCACCATTAGCCGCTATTTCAATTGTGTTTTGTTACAAGTTGCATGTCATACATAGTTATCGAACGAGGAGTTTTATTTTGAATCCTAAGACAAAATTGTAGGTAATGCGAGGCTGTTGTTCAGCCTCATATTGCATGAGGCTGAAACAGCCTTTTATTTCCTGTATTTTAGAGCAGAGTGCGCCTTTCGAGAATCCAGATTCCATTTCAGGAAGCATTTGTGGTGAACATGCATCTGGTTGTCAGTTAGAGCAGGAGGGGGGGTCGTATCTGGACCCTCTTCGAGGGGGGGTCGTACCCACACCGCCATTTGACACATCCCCATGCTGTACCCTGGGTGACGCTGGGAACGCTAGATCGATATCTATCCTTTCCCCGACACTGCCGCTGGCGTACGCTGGAAGCGCTACGCTACGCTAGGCTACGCTGCCGCAAAGTATAAGCAGCCTAAGACCTATCATAAGCTGCGTTGGTGGACCAACCGACCGGATATCATGGTACCTCAACACAATAGTGAGCCAGTTGCTGACCAAAATCCCCTCTCACCTGACCAACACGAACCAATTCCTTCACCAGCTACACAACTCGAATTTCGGGACCGATTGTGTAGTGGAGTCGTTTGATGTCACTGCACTTTACACGAACGTCCAAAACGAACAAGCGCTACAGGCTTTGTCAGAGATGCTGGACATGCATGTTGCCGCTATTAACACCTTTGGACTAGAATAAAGTGCAATCATGACTGAAGTGCACATTAGGAGGAATGCTTACGCTGCAATATCTTCAAATGGTCAGGACGCTACTTACTCTCAAGTTAGAGGTTTGGCAATGGGTCAGCGACTAGCACCAGTACTCGCGATCTGCTTCATGAGCAGAATTGAAGAACCAGTACTGAGTCGTTCTCCTTTGATGTACTGCAGGTACATCGACGACTTCGATTACTAAATGAGCAGTCGCAGTACATCAGACTCACACGAGAAGTACCAAAACACGGTTGGCTACCATATCTGAATACGCAGGTGAAGCTGTCCAACGGCATTGCTAAAGTAAAATGGTACCGCAAACCTAGCTGTAAGAATATCCTGATTCACGCAACGTCTTCACATCCTGTTGCGGTAAAACGTGCAGTCATCAGGAACATGATCACGACTGCAACCAGGATGTGCACAGGCGAGGAAGAACGACAGGAATCGAGATCTCTAGCTTCGAAAGTTGCTGAAGAAAATGGTTATGCGGTACGAGCATATCGTAGAACATCGAATGCCAGCCTTCGACATGTATCACGCCAAGGGAAGCTACCCTTGTGCCTTTTTATTTCCGATGACATCAGCACTGAAATACGTCGCAGTATTGTGAGAGCACAGTTGCAGGATGATGTTGTCTTGGTGAGCATTCCCAACAGCAACATCAAACGCCAACTTGTTCGCAACAGACTGTACGACAGGCAGTGCATGACACCAGATTGCGTTATTTGCCCATATGGAAGGGTAGGAGATTGTGAGAAAACTGGGGTAATTTATCAACTTGAATGCAGGGCTTGTAACAGCACGTACATCGGGGAAACAGGAAGGGACTTAGCTACTCGCGTCAAGGAACACCTAGCTGGGAAGAGGCGTGATATGATGACAACTCCTCTTGGCAAGCATAAGATTGAGGAGCATAACGGGAATGACTTTGATGTTAGTGTACTATACTCGGGTACGAGACAGAGATTCTTCCAGGAAAGCCCTGGAATCGTTTTGGATTTTTGCGAGAAAACCAAGGATGAACGGCCGAAACGAGTGTCCGTCAATTACTAATGAGTTCTTGCCGTTTGTATCAGAGTGCGAGCTACAGTAAGGGCGACGTGCACAATGACAATTTTGACTTATGTGACACGATGAGACTCTAGTGAGACTCATTCGTCCTTACTTACACTACTGACACATAGCGTGAGCTAGGCTCCGCACGGTGGAACCTCGGTGAGTTGAGCGCAGTTATTACTGGGTTCTTCGGGGCGTTCGGGACACGACGTCGGAAACGCTAGAGTGGGGAAGGCGCTTGGTCGGGTAGGTGACAAATTGAAAGCTTCGAGCCATTTTCAGGCCTCTGAAGAAGACGAGAAGGTCGAAACGTCGGGCCAATAAAAAGGTTCTATCTAACAACCTCGTTTGGCAGAAATAACTAACAGGGAAGACAGTTTTGTCAATTCAAATATAAAAACCCAACCCAGGTACAAAGCTGCAGTTTCCGAATAAGAGTCCAGTTTTCACTCAAATAGTAGGTCTACTTTGAAACTCTGTTATACTCAAAAGAGACAATGAAAGAAAATAAGAAATATTCATTGAAATGCTCCCACTTTTGTGTCTCCACTGGCAACCACCACAGTTAGCTGATCACGCGCCGAGTCATAGGAAGCAGCTTCAACACGCCGACTGGTACCTGAATAGGAACGAAAGAGAATCACTAAGATTGATCGAGTTTCTCACCAAAACGAATAGCATTAACTTCACGCCAACCTTGCCCACCGCAATCAACAGCGAGATCCATAC